TATTAGGTTGGAGGCGGAAGGCCATCACTAGTAGGTTGGAGGCCAGCGCTATTAGGTTGGACGCCATCGCTATTATGGTTGGAGGCCATCGCTAGTGGGTTGGAGGCCATCGCTAGTAGGTCGGAGGCCATCACTAGTAGGTTGGAGGCCACCGCGATTAGGTTGGAGGCCATCGCTATTGGGTTGGACTTAGTATATTTCAGGAGGCAAAGGCAGACCGTGACGAGCTGTGCAGGTGCACCTAGGGGCCGTCCAACGATGCCATCAGTGGTGGCTTTCAACTCTGAGGGCGACTCTGTTGTGGGGTTGAAGGCGTTGCGTGTCAAACATATCAGCCAAAAGCAAGTGACTCTTGGCAATCAAGAGGGTCAGAAAAAGATGCGACAGTAGCCGAGATGATGTGAGTTGGTTGAAGGCAAGAATAAAGATATGAAAAAGGAAGGTAGGGCCATGGTAGGCCCCTTTAAAGAGAGACTTATCTTGTTTCATCTTGCTTTTCTTGCACCCCTTTTTACTCCGCCCCTTCCAAGGGTCTTCCACTCCATGAAGCGGCTCTTGGGGCGGACCTACGAAGAAGCTCACCAAATTGGTTTGAGACCCAGCGAGCTGGGCGCAGATCCTTCTGGTCAGGTGGGGGCATGTCCAATTGATTTCAATGGATATGAAAGAATGTAACATTCTGTAAAGGAGTGTACAAATGTGGACTTGATTCGGTATGGAATAGTATGGATATGTATGGAACCAAAACACCAGACTGTTTGGGGAACCATTCCCCAAAAAACGCGTAGGAAGCAGCCGATGAGAAGAAACTGCTTGGGTTGGCTGTCATCAGAATCACCCTTCCCAGCAACGCGAGCGGCGTTTGAGTCAGGTCTCCGAAGCACACAATACCACGCAGAGATCTACATGAAGACATTAGAAAGCTGTTGATCCTACGCAGCCACAGCAAACATGCGAGCATATGTAAGCCATTGTGTGCATCCGCAGCCATAATATGATAGAGGCGCACCCCAAACAGCGCCAGAACACATGCAACAGAATCGCCCGCCCCTGTTAGCTGTTAGCGGACCCGCTAATTTCGAGCGCTTTTCAACATGTATTTTGATGAAACCGGCAGCTCTTTCACACTGAGTGGTTCTTACGGTAGGTGTTCAGGGCCGGTGTCTAATGGAGGTGTCGCACGTTCGTGCGCGGCTAGATCATTGCTATTTACAGTACATTCATGCCCCTCGAAATCTTCGAAGTGCATTTCGATTGCGCAGGCTCGCAAAATTATCGTTTTGGCGCCGTGCGAATTTTCGGACATGGTGGTCACTTTTCGTGGCAGGCGCAAGGGAAACCATGGGGAACCTAGTGTTTTGGTGGTCCAAAGTCGACTTTTCGTGACAGGTGCGGTTTTACTTCGATGTGTAGATTCGTGGCAGGTGCATCACTTTGGACACAGTGGTAATCTTCGACGCGCTCTGATCGTGACTTTTGGACATGTGGCTCGTTTTCAGAAATCGTGGCAGGCGCAGTACTTTGTGGACCTTGAAGTGCAGATTTCGTGGCAGGCGCATTACTTTGTGGACCTTGAAATGTAGATTTCGTGGCAAGTGGTGGACCTTGAAGTGCAGATTTCGTGGCAGGCGCAGTACTTTGTGGACCTCTCCAAGCTTGAATCGCCATCCGCCACCATCACCACCCACCAACGCCATCACTTTGTGGACACCCACCACCATCACCACCAATTACCGCCATCGCCACCACCATCACCACCATCATCACCACCACCACCATCACCACGATCCTTCATCACCACCATCACCTCTCTGGACCCAATGCGTCTAGATCTCTAGACTTTCTGCTGCCACACCTCCAGACCTGAAACACACTGTTTGGTGTCCCTTTCCGGGATAATGCTCGTTGAACATATCGTGTTTTACATGGTATTTTATTGCGTTGCACTTTGAAAATTGTCTTGTCACAGAAACGCCTGGGTCAAGCGAGTTTTTCCTTTGTAGTTCCTACATATTCTTTGCGTCGTGTGTTTGGTTGATTTTCAAAAAATGAATAGTGCGTGAGCTATCCTGGCTTGCGTCCAGTAGGTGGTGGCGTCCTAGTAGCTCCTGGCTACCTCTTCCACCTTTCCTAGCGGCCTACCCACCTCCTTTTGGGGCTACAAATATACATAACTATATAAGACTATATATATATATATATCATACATTTTTGAAAAGTTTAGTAGCCTTACTAGCCTTACCGTTCACTGAGAACACTGGAGCTTACTTAAGGGCCTTTCCTCCTTTAGCCCTTTTCGTCTCGTGAGTCGGAGTGTTTTCCTCCCACAACTTCTTTGGTTCAAAACTGTTAGGGTTCTGAGAAAACAACATTGACTACAGACTGTCAGTCTCTGGCCACATTCGTGAACCCTGTGTCCGGATGTTGTCCTTTTCTTGTCCTCCAGTTGTCCTCCTGGTGTCCTCCTGCACTCCTCTTGCGAACTTTGTGTCCTCCCCTTGTCCTCCGTTTGTCCTTTGGCCATGCGTGCGAACGCTGGGTCCTCCTCTTGTCCAGTTCTTGGTCCGCGGAACAGTTTGAGAAAGAAATGGCTGGCCATGATCGCTATGGGCCTTCTTTTCCGCCTTGTCCGAGGCTTGTCCAGGCCTTGTCTGCTTCGCTGCTGGCTTTGTCCGGGTTTGCTTGTCCCCGTTGTCGGCCCATGCTTGGCCAGGCCAACAAGTCGCAAGCGACGTTTGGGGGGACGTGGAAAGGAGAGGAAGTACCCGAGTACCCTTCTGTTTCAAAAAGGCCGGCAAAACGCTCGAAATGAGAAAAGAGAAGAAATGAGAGGACCGTTCCTCGGGGCCTGGCCAGGGCTTGGGGTGTGGCCCACCTGGTCAGGGGCGAGCGTGATCATCCGGAACGCCCCCTTCCATGGGTTGTGGACCTGGAAGGGGGTTGATCACCCGATATTGTGTTTTTTGTTCCCAAGTGTTCTATTTGCTTTGACAATCTGGCTGCAGAGCGAGTTAGAAAAGGTGCTTGAACTTTTCTCTATATGTATAAAATATATATCTAAAAATATAACTATTTAGAATTTACCATATATATATAGATCCCGTCCTTTTTGCACATGTGACCCGGGAATCAGGAACTCTTGTTTTCAAGCAGTGCGATTCCCAAGTAGCCGGAAGCCAAAGGAATATAATTACGTACGTTGTGCAACCAACATTGGAATTCAAGGAGTTGACGCAAAAAATAATGCCGAAACTGTTTGGGCGTGTTTTAGATGACATGTCCAAGCCTCGCCACATAATGTTTATAATTCCATTGATGGTTTGTTTCATATACAGGTATGGCATGGTATGGGGTATGTAAGAGTATTGAACAGGTGTGTATTCCGCGTTCCTTCAATGGGATGATTTATCCTTTGGTACTGCGCTGGATTCATGTCTGGGTTTGACACAGGCGCGAGAGATAGTTCGGCTTCTGCTGCCGGGAGGGCGCGTGATCTCTGTGGAAGAAGTAGTTGCCGTGCTCATCAAGGCACGGTTTGCTCATCAAATGTGGGAGTTTGGGTTCCCACAAGTCATTTCAGTAAACAGTAGGTTTCTCAATTTTCAAGACCGGCCTTTCAGAAGGGTTTTGCATAACCTGTGGCCTTTAGCTTGAAACATTCCGTTCAGAAACGTTCGCTTCTTTGATTTTGCAGGAGCTGGTGAAGATTGCAGAGAATTACCTTGGACAGCCAATCAAGCGTGCAATCCTAGGCCGTCCCGCGATTTCTCGAGCTGTGGTGCACTGATCATTTCAAGTGAGGAGAGCGTTGCTTCAAAAAGGGCTTGTGACGATGCTCAGTGGCAGGTGTGCCGGTGCGCTGGAATAAATATCAGAAGCGTGCCCTGGAATATGCTGCCGAACTGGCAGGGCTAGAAACTGTGCGGCTGGTGCCTGAACCTGAGCTGGCAGTTCGGGCCTATGGCGTCAGGAGAAGGGGAGGGCGGGTGATGCATGGTGCAGTTAGAGTTCTCCCAAGTCAAGTATGTTAGTGCTGCACTTGAGACCTTTTTTGGGTCTAAACTGGCTGACCAACTTGCAACCTTTCCATTTGGCTGTCAAAGGACCAGTCCAAATGCTGACATTGTCACAGGCAGGGGCAAGCACAAGAAAAGCTGCTGCGCAGTGTATCAAAGGCATCAACATATTAGCTGTCCATCCATCCTGTCTTCTGTTGCTGAGTCACCATTCTGACCAACAATGACTGTGGGGGTAGCATGCCGGGTGTTGTTGGGCTTTCTTTTCCTGATTTGCAACGTTTCCTCGTGTGCGGAGGTGGAGGCAATCTTGGCCCAAGGCCACGGAACTTCAAAGGCAAAGTTGAAATCGAGGCAACAGCGCAGCGCCACTTGGCAGCAGCTTGATTGAAGGGGCCGTCGCCCGGCATTGGCCATGCCACAGGGAATAGAAGCAGAAAGGATGTGTCAAGAGACGCAAGGCAGCCTACTTTCCGTGCTCTGTTTATTACTTTTTCCCTCTCTGTCTTTGTGGCCTTATCCCTGCAGCGCCCTTTTGATGATCAGTTCAATCAGTCAGTCAGCCAGTCAATCAGTCAATCAAGCAATCAATCAGTTGGTCGATCAGTCGTCAATCACTCAATCAGGCAGTGATATCGTTATCATTGTTTATCTAGTTGCCTTTTTATCTACGTTGCAGGCAGGCAGGCAGGCAGGCAGGCAGG